GTACACATTTATACTTGTACACATTTTATTTTTAAAGCAATCATTTCTTTATTGTATTGCAGTTATTGGGCTTACACACGATTCTTCTCACTAGAAAAAGAATCATATAGTTATCAGTACTGCTACTTGTTCTTTCTCACAAGGTTGTTGTGAAATACCACACAAGATAACTATTGAGACAGTGCTTTGGCAACTCTAAAGTAGTAGAGCACTATACAACTATATAGTAGACTTCACATTTTTAAAAAACAACATGAAAATGTTTTTTCACATGAATGACTTGAGACTCTTTTCAACTTGATATTCCAAAGTCAGTCTTTGCTCAGGAACAGAGAACTTATAGAATGGTCACTTTTTTAACATCCTTCCTAAACCTATTTTCTGCTGACTATTGATATACTAGATGGCTCAGTATAGTATTATCTAGGCTATACTTTCATTTTCCAAAAAGAAATACTAAAAGTGATTAGATGAGGATGACCAGATATTATTTCCCAGTGGAAAAGACCAAAACCTAGGAAACTGTCTTTGAGCACTTTCCCAAGAGGATCATAACTGAGATTTTTCTTCCTCTAAAGTCAGTTAAATTTCTTTATATTTACTACTTCAGTTTCACATGTGTTACTGAATATAGGGTCCAGTAGAAGTAATGCCTGCTTGAATGTGGTTGATAGGGTAATGATATGGGTGTAATAATTTATAGTTTTAATTTGAACATTTCACCTAAAGTGTCATATGGTGTGCTTCAGTGTGATAGTTATGTTACAGAATTACATGCTTATGATTTAGGAATAAAAGATTTTGTAATAAAGAAGGGGTGTTATTTTTGTTGGACCTTGTATTTACTAATGTGTCCTGCATTAGCAAGAGTGGGTAAATAATTTTAATACCCAAACTTTTTAAACCATTGCAGTAATCATTTCATAGTTTCACCTGTTGCAAAATTTAACAAATTCTTATTTTTTTCTTACTACCACTGCACAACTGGGTTCTCCACTATCCTACCAGGTATGGGTGATATTTGACATTTAGCCTAGCTATATAAACAGGTTTCTGCACTGCAACAAGTATGAAGGCTGTTTTGAAATACATAATCTCTTCTTCAAATGCAGTTTGGTGACTAAATTTTACCTTGAATTTAGGTTTATATTACATCAAGTCTGACAATTTTAAACTTTTTCTACCAGCAACAGGTATAGCAACCAAAAATGAACAAAGCCTGTAGTATCACAAAATATTTTACTATTGTCAATTTTTAAGGACTCCCTTTATTAACATTTCTAAGAGGATGATTCTATCTACTACCATGCTTCATTTGATTTGGTCCTGCTTCAGTCTGGTCAGTAGTAACTGTGGGAGCAACTTTTCTCTCAAGTCCCCCCAGCCGCCACAGATGAGAGTAATCATGACTGAGACATGATGTGATCTGCTTGGGGAAGAGAAGTGGCCTTTTTCCCGGAGGAAAAAGGCTGTGAGCAGTGGCCAGTTTCTCAGGGGAAAAAGGTGTTGAGCCCACTCCTCTAGGGGCTTTTATTGGGTTGTAATACACAGGAATACAGGGTAGCAAGGATCAAACAGTAGATAACATTTCAAAGAAATCTGAGGGCTTAGTTTGAGTCAGAGACTGTCAGGAACAGAGTTTTAGGGTTTTCTGCTCAAACCCTTAACATATGAATGAAAGCACTCTTAGCAGAGCAGATTTCACAGGTTTATCAGGAAATCTTTGTGATGCCAGATTTTCCCCCAGGACATGCTCTAGCAAGGCAAGGAGCTGCACTCCTCCCCAACAGGTAATTAGGCTTAAGGGGATTAGAGCCAGGAAGCACTTCTCCCAGAGGACACGGGGACTCGGGCTATGTCAAAGCCGGGGTGGTGGGGGGGAGGCGAGAGTCCATTGCTCTTTGTTGCAGCCTATATGCAACAAAGTACTTCCATGAAGACCCCCCAGGTGATGGAGTCTGGCTTAGGTGGCCCCCCGCTGTAAGGGCTCTTACCCATCATCGACATCCGACCAAGCTTTGGGGGCAGGGAGAGGAATCTGAGGCAGCATTTGCTACCAGAGACAAGTTTTGTCTCCTGTGGCTCTCGAATTCCAGAGTTCACTGACTCCTCCTTAGCCATAGGGGGTAGAGTTACAATTCCTAGAACCAGGCAGAGTGGTCTACAACAAGTAACCATAATCTCTTAGGGTTCACATTTGTCCTTCGATAACATTGAGGCCACTGGGTCCTGTAACCTCATACCTCCAGTTTTAGCTTCCAAGAAAACCTGAACACGAAATCTGGGTCCTGTGCATCCTGACAGGTGTTCCCGACCTGCTCCTCTTGTGGAAGAGCTAGAACAGAGTATGGAGGGGCCATGCTGGCCATAGCCAGGCTGGGGTTGCTCCTGGGCCTTGCTAGGCTAGAGCCATCCTGCCACCCATGGGCCCCTCAATCATGTCGAGTTCTTTATATATTTTAGATATTAAATCTTTGTTGGAGCTGTTGTTTGCAAATGTCATCTCCCTTTCTGTTGGTTGCCTCTTTGTTTTGTTGTTGGTTTCTTTTCCTGTGCAGAAGCTTTTTTAGTTTGATATCCCATTCATTTATTTTTGCCTTTACTTCCCTTGCCTATGGGGTTCTTTCTAATTTAAACTGTGTGAGGCTTAGAAAAATTGAAAAGGTTTACTTTGTATTTTTTGAGGCTGACTTGATTATACAGAAGAATAGTGTAAGTATAGAAAGCTATAGTCCATTGAGGTGCCAGACTTCTAGAAAAAGCATTGACAAGTCCTCTGTAGCACTCTACTAAAAGAATGCACTGTCCTTATGAGGATTCATTCTGAGGATGCAAGAATGAGTCAACATTAGGAAATCAAGGTAGGAATACATAAAATCCACATAATGACCTAGATTTTGGCTCCAAAAGCACTTAATAAAAATCTTACATCTATCCTTGCTTTAAAAAAATCTTAGTGAAATAAACAAAGAAATGAATACTTTCTTTATGTAATGAAGGAAAATCAGAAGCAGGTATTTAATGGAGAAAATTTTGAGGCATTTGCATTAAAGTCAAGACTGAGACACAGCTGCACACTTCCACTAACTAATACCTGCATTGTTTTGGTGCTTTTGGCCAATGCACAAAAAGGAAGAATAGAAAAGGAAAATGTGTATATATTTGAAAACAAGGAAGAAAAAGATTTTGTAAATTTATAATATGAATTATATGCAATATATTGAGAATGTACAACATATCAGCAGTAATGTTAACTATGTAATGGGAAATTGCAACAGAAATGATAGAATAACTTGGAATGAATAAATAATCTAGGGAGGTACAAAATATATAAGAATATACAAATAACAGAATATGTACTGTTTTTTGGAGAGAATGTCTCAATATTTTGAAGTCATTATCTCAAAATTAATTTGTAAATTTCATTTAAGTTCAAGAAATATATCACCTTTTGGGGGGGCGGGGACTTGGCAGATTGTTCTAAGTTCAGTTGAAAAGTGTGGAAAGTTAGTCTTTGAGAATGACTTTTTTCATCAGTATTTAAAATCATACTGTTTCAGGAATATACAGAGTAATAAAACAGTACAGCAAGTGGTTCCAAAATGCCGGTCTATTGACTTGCCATATTAAAATCTCCTAGGGGACCTTTTTAACTACAGGTTCTGACGTCCTGCTCCTGATTGCACAGGTTTGAGATAGGTCCTAGGATCTGTATATTTCAACATGTTTCCCAGGGGTCCCGATGTGCAGCCATATTGGGAACCTCTAATGTATAGAATGTCCTTTACAACAAGAACCAGAAACAAGGATATGAAGTGTGAATTTCACAGAATAGGGAATTAAGGGTTGGAAGAATAGCTTTTACAACTATTCAGGGAGTGAGGCAGAGGTATTTTAGGATATGAGGGTATGTGCTGTAAAAAAGGTCAGCACTGCTGGGTCATAACCTCCAGGGATCATAGAATGGTGGTCAGGTAATGTAGTAACCAGAATGATCTTCCAGATTGCAAAATCTTAGTTGACTTTATTATATATTTTGGCATCCTAGAAAGGGTTATGTGACTTCTGAGTCATAAACAGTTACATTAGCCAAGCCTCTCTGCACTATGACCTCATTTCCTTGCCTGCATCATAGTGTCTCCATGTTCTTGATGAGTGGTGGGGCCTTATCTTGAGAGTACTAGATGGGGTGAATCTCCAAATATGATGAGAGGGTGAGCTCTGTTGTCTGGGTTTGTCTTCAGGGATCTCATCTAGTTTGATGTGACCTGGGCTGGCCTCTGTCTCTTATAAACATGGTGACACATAGAGACAGTATGTCTTTTAAGAACCAGCATCAGCAGGAAAGGTGAATGCTCAGAAGTAAATTCCACCTGGAAGATACAGGGATGATAAGAAATCTGATCCCATCAACTGTCACCCAACTTCAATAGGAAGTGGGTAAGCATGTCAATACAAATGGTGTGCAGTGGTGTGTAATAACCATATTTATCATAAAGAAATGTAGGGTATTCACTATTATAAAACCACCACTGGTTGAACTGAATGGGAATAGCCTGGGCCTGTCTGGGGAGGCGAATGTGCAGTGCTCACTGACCTGAGAGGCTTGCTTTCCTTTACATGCAGCAGGCCACATGCAGCAGGCACTCGCAGAACGTGAAAGTGTCTTCTTGGGTGTTCTTGAGTAGAGATGATCTTCCTGCCTAATAACTTTGCATGCATGGCCATAGGAGAGCTAGTTTTTCCCATTCTCTCCTTCATGGATTTTTTTCTCCAGTTTTCTTCTTTTCAGAACTATGTTTTTTTGCATATGTTTTGTAATATAAAAGAGGAAGAAGTATGAATCATACCTAGTATAAAAAGGTTTAAATTACTAATTATTTTCTGTTTACTTCTTGATTTTTAAAGTAATATATTATGTGGCTCATGTATGGTTATATGTAGTTTACTATTTACAGTAAAATTCACTTTATGATTTCACCCTGGTTATTTATTTTCAGTGAAGCACAACTGGAAGACCATGACAGAAGCTATTCAAAACCATATTGGCTCTCTAAATTGGAGCTACAGGCTGTCTTTAAGGGAGAAGGCAGTAGCCTATGTAAATTCCTATGGAGAATTTGTTGAGCATCATAAAATAAAGGTATTGTTTGAATATTTTGTCTTGTTGATTGCTTTCCTTTACTACTACTTGTACTTGCCTTGAACTAAAATTCCATGTCCCATGTTAAGGGGTATAGCTAGTGCATATCCGGCCATGCATGCACAAGTATTTTCTCCATTGTTTATGGATTCCACATGTCTAGCTAAATTAAAGAAATTTCCTTTTAAAGAACTCTTTAAAGTTCTTTGAAGTTGCCTTTTGATTGCCATTTTAAAAGAGAAAATGTTTAAACAGTAAAAAAATCAAAATTTTAGTGTTAATTCTTTTTTTTTTCTTTTCGTTTTTAAATTTATTTAGTTATTTTTCAAGTACAGTTTTTTTTTGTCAATTTCTCCCATCCCAGCCCCCCCTCCGCCCCGTCTCCCCACCTCCCTCCCATTCCCCCCCCCCGCCCACAGTCCACAGTCCTCATCCCAGTGTCTTTCATACTTGTTCTTCAAAATCCCTTCCCGTTTTTCCCCTTAAATTCCCTTCCCTCTCCCCTCTGGTCGCTGCCCACTTGTTCTCTATTTTAATGTCTTTGTTTTTATTCTGTTTGCTTGTTTGTTTTATTGTTTAGCTTCCTGTCAAAGGTGAGATCATATGGTATTTGTCCTTCAATGCCTGGCCTATTTCACTCAGCATAATGCTTTCCAGTTCCATCCATGTTGTTGCAAAGGGTAGTAGCTCCTTCTTTCTCTCTGCTGCATAGAATTCCATTGTGTATATGTACCACAATTTTTTGATCCATTCGTTTAAAAAGTGTTAATTCTTTTAAAAAATGAAACCTTAAATAGAACTTCAATATATATTATTCATAAAAGTATTAATTAAAAGTAGCATCAGATTAGTATATTTTGTAAATTTATATTTATAATGTTTATGTATTATAAGATCAATATGTAAGGAAAATGAGACCATTTTGATGGACACAGAACTTTTTAATTGGAGTTTTGAAAGACAAGCAAATATCATCCTTAAGCACCTAGTTTATTCTTGTACTCTGCTTTTGTAGCATAGTGTGCAATAATCTTGATAGAATTTGAAGTTATTTTGTAGTCATTTCTTGTCTAGAAAGGTGGGAGGTGGTCCATTTAAAGCTATACATGGGCTAATTTGACCTACATCATTCACATGAAACATACTAGAAATCCAAGTCAGTCAGTTTTAGTTCTCAAACTGTCATATATCTGGGATAGCTCATTGAATAAGTGATCATTCCCAGCCACCCCTGCCTCTCCTATGCCTCCTCATTTAGTGATACCAGCATCTCTCCAGGTACTCCAGTAAGAAACTTCAGGTTCTTCCCATTTCACCCTCACAGCTTGGACTTGTTTATCTGTCACAGGTCCCTATCTTCAGGTTGCCCTCCCTCCATCCCACTGAAATCACCCCTTTGTGCTTAAATTTTATAATTGTTTTTGAACTTTTAAAATGTGAAAGTATTTATTATTTACTTATATAATTGGAAATAAACAAACAATGATCAACCTTTCCTGATGCTCCATAGCCTGGATTTTTAGGGTGACATAGAAGGATCTTTACTTTTGGCATTAATCTGTGTGACTTCACTTCTGACACATAGCCTCCTGTCCTGTCACTTCTGGCCACTTGCTGTTCCCCAGATGCCAGCTGCTTTCAGGCCTGTGTGCATTTTTATGCACTATTCTCTTTTTAGTTTTCCATTTCTCTAAAATCTTTGCACTTTTCTCATCTCCCCTTGAAATGCCACCACCTTTAAACCACCCCCCACTATGGTCTTTTGGTTAATGTTTTGTGAAGACTTCTATTTCTATGATGATGCTTATCACACTGCATTATTATTTTGCGTGTTTGTTCCTGTTGATGGGAAGCTTCATAGAGGGGAGTAACTAGTTTGATCATGGTGACTGGTACTTTGTTATGTTGTTTGAAAAGTGAAATTTACTTTTCTTTTTTCAAGGCAACCAATAGAAAAGGACAGGAAACTTACTATACTGCTGCAAAATTTGTCATAGCAACAGGTGAAAGGCCACGGTATTTAGGAATCCAAGGAGATAAAGAATACTGTATTACTAGGTAAGATTAAATAGGCCATTTTAACTGTAAATTGTATTATGTTTATGTGTTTCCTGTCTTGTTTTACAAAGATTTAAATTGATAAATAAAGGTATATACAATGCAAGAAGCTATGTAGTTAGCTTAATGGAACAAAGAGTAAATAAAGTTAGGTAAATAATAAGGTCAAATTTACGCACAAAAATGTGCTTTATGTTTCTAGATAATTGCTCTGGGAATTTGGCTCTAACCTTCCTGGAGGTTGAAGAGAAGAAGCAAATACAATTGGCTTTAGGTTTTAGTGTCTAATATAATAACAGTGAACCAGCTGATCAGGAGAATCATGGCTGGCCATTCCTAAAGAGAACAATGTATAATGTAGTACAATGACTTGCAAGCTTTTTTTGACCAGATACACATTAAGAAATATATTTTTCATTGTGCTGTTAATTAGGTGGACACACACACACACATCCAAAATAAAATATTTCTTCTTATCACATATAAGTTAGTGTGATATTTTCTATTCTGTTTTGTTTTTTTTTAAACTTTGCTTGTGCCCTAGTCAGTGTGGCTTGATTGGTTAGAGCATTGTCCCATGCAACCAGAGGTTGTGGGTTTGATTCCTGGTCAGGGCAGATATGTAGGTTCAGTTCCCAGATGGGGCATGTATGGGAGACAACCACTCTATGTTTCTCTCTCACATCAGTGTTTCTTTTCTCTCTCTGCCCCGCCCCTTGCCTTCTTTCTCCCTCCCTCCCCATCCTCCCTTCCTCTCTCTCTAAAAGCAATGAAAAAAATGTCCTTTTGAGGTGAGGATAAAAAACATACACACAAACTTTGCTTGCAATCCACTAATTTGATTTTTAAAAGACTGAGGTATACTTCTTCCTCCACAGGAGAAACTATTACATACTCCAGAAGGCCATTTCTTTTAGTGTTTCTTCATTCAAGCCCCAAATTGTAATTCAGCCAACAAAAGACTATTGAAAGCAGTAACTTATTTCATTTTTATTGCCTAGGTATTCTGTTTCTTATTTTTATTTTTCAGTGATGACCTTTTTTCTCTGCCTTATTGCCCTGGCAAAACATTAGTAATTGGTGCATCCTATGTGGCTCTGGAATGTGCAGGATTTCTTGCTGGTGTTGGCTTAGATGTCACAATTATGGTGCGTTCAATCCTTCTTCGTGGCTTTGATCAAGAAATGGCAGAGAAAGTGGGTTCCTACATGGAACAACATGGTGTTAAGTTCTTAAGGAAATTTATACCTGTGATGGTGAGTCTGATGATAGTTGGAATTCCTTTTATTTTCTTTTTACTCTCTTTAATTAGCCTTTTATTTTATCCCTCCTTCATTTCATTGAGTAAATTGGTCTTTACTCAGTAGGAAACCTTAAAGATAGTGTTCCTACCCCAAGTCTATAAAACTGGCCCCCATTTGTCCCTGTCTTCTCCTCCTCTGATAGGGCAGGGTCCTTGCTCCTCTCAGGCAAGATTCCCTCTTCTGTCACTGTTCCTCGCCTTCTCTCACCTTTTCAGGGACTTCCCTCTATCATGCCCTTCAGTGTCATTCATCTTTAAACAACTAAGCTCTTCCACCCCTCTGCTTTTCTGAATAGGTCTCCATTTTTCATTTTCCCTTTAGGAGAAAACTATGCATGTTATTTCTCATTTCCCACTGCCTCAGACTCTCAGCTGCTTCCTCCTTCCCTGCCACTCCTTTGAAACTGCCTGTCAGGTTCTGTTGTCAAAGCCATTGGTTACATCTCTATCCTATCTTACTGGGCCTCTGGCATCAGTAGGTGCAATTGACATTCTTTCCATTTGAAACCCAGCCCTTTCTGTACTTCTCTGGCCCCACAGCCTGTGGTTCCATGTATACTCAACTTGTAAATATCAGAACACCTGGTCCCTCCACCCTTTTCAATTCTCTGCCCTTTATACCTAGGCAGTCTTCTTTAGGCCACATTTTGTTATCTTAATGTTAATGGCACACACACACACACACACACACACACACACACACACACATATATATATATATATGCTCAGCCATCTCTCCTGAACTCCACACTCATTTGGACAGCTGCCTACTAGTTATCTCCACTTGAATTCCTCATAAGCATTTCAAATTTAACAAGACAAATATGAAACTCTTAATTTTCTGCCTATGTATATTCCCCTGATAATCTTTCTGTCCTGTGTAGTCACGAAATGATACTATAGTCCACACAATTTATTAAACCAACACCTTAGTAAGCATCCCTTCATTCTTCCTTTTATGCTACCTCCAACTAATCCATTGTTAGTTCTACCTCCAAAATGTATCTTGTGACAGTCCTTTGTTCTCTGTCTGTCTCTGTTTAGTCCAAAAGCCTAAATACACACACACCCACATATTCACACTCACATGCACATCCTAGGACCCATTAGTTTTCTGTTCCCTTTAGGTAGAATCATTACATTGTTTATCCTTACTAGGTTCAACAGTTGGAGAAAGGTTCACCTGGAAAACTGAAAGTAGTGGCTAAATCCACTGAAGGACCAGAAACTATTGAAGGAGTGTATAACACAGTGAGTTTTGTTTTAGAAGCAGGAAGTAGTTGAACACACTCATAAGTTAGCACAGAAGACACTTATAGGAAGATTATACAAGGCTTAACTGTTTTTTTGATTCTTTGTGAGAGTGTAGTAAATGTGGAAGGTAGTTGATCTGTTGACATTTATAATGGTACATGAAGGATACCATGGTAAAATGCAAGTATATGTGTAACTATGCATAGAACAAAATCTAGAGGCAGATATGCCTGACTTATTAATACTTAGTTCATGGGCATTAGATATCTTAAACATTTCTGCATTTAAGTATTTTTGCAATAAATACTGAATCATTTTATATATTATATATTTTATTTAAAAATATATCTTGTATTTTCAAAAATATCTTTTTGAAATATATTTTTATTAAAAAATCAATATTTAAAATATCCAAATAGTACATGGGCTGTTTATGGATGGCAACAATTCTAATTTAAATTGTTGATATTTGGATGCCGACATTTCTAAGTTGTAGTTGATAGTTTTAATGTAAGTTATACATTTATGTTTTATATACTCTAAAACATATAGATATTTTTAGTTAAAAAAGGGAATGATGTAGAGAGTCTAGTAAAAAATATATTAAGATATAAAATTTATTTGATAATTTACCCTTAGACTAATTTGAATTTTCTTTGTAAATATTCATAATATTTCTGCATAACAACAGTTTTATTTCCTCTTTTCTACTGTTTTCCTCATTACTTCTTTTTTGTGCATAAGTGTATTAGCTGGGACTTCCAGTAGAAACTATTTGACTAGAAATGGTGGTGGCAGCCATTCTCATCTTGTTCTCAATATTGAAGGAAAGTTTCCAGTGTTTCATTATTTAAGAATAATTTTTTTGATGATGGAGGCATAGGTGGAAACACTGTGCCTCCTTGCACAACCAAGTTTAAAGACAACAGAGTTTTAGTAACAAAAACACAACCAAAACACAGAAAATTAAACTCTACAGAAGTCCGACAACAACGAACCATTCATCCAGACGGTAAGAGGGGCGGAGTCAGCGGCTGGTGGAGCAGGGTCACACAGGAAAGTGGCCAGACTGAACCCAGGTGCACATGCCACGGTTGGCAGATTCCAGGCTTGGGGTGGCAACAGGCAGACCCAGTGAGGGTGTAAGCTAGCTGGCTGACTATGGTCACACATTCACACTCAGATAAACCAGGCAAAGGAGCAAGCAGTGAGACAGACCAAGCAGGCTAGGGCCCCAGCGACAGGCCTCAACTTTCGGTTTGAGGTGCTGGGAGAAGCTCCCAGGTTCACAGAGAGGTTCACCATAGGGTGCTAAAGGGTGCACAGGCCAGAACACCAGGGAGCCAGCACCAGGGGGGCCCAATTTGCTTGTGGGAAACAGCAGAGGGGACCGAAATCCAAGAGGGAGTGGAACAAATGCCATTGCCCCTCTCTGACCCCGCCCCCACATACAGCATCACAAACCAGCAACCTGGCTCACCCCGCCCTGGTGAACACCTAAGGCTCCACACCTCATACGTAACAGGTGTGAACAGACCAAAACATTATGGCTCAAGAAGAACAGCTCAAAGCCCCAGAGCCAATACTTCTAAGTTACCAAGAGATAGTCAACCTATCAGATGCACAGTTCAAAACACTGGTGATCAGGATGCTCACAGAAGACAACTGTAATGGCATAATCAATAAGATATATTAAGAAGAAAATATTTTTCTGTAGGGTTTTTATAGATATTCTTAATCAAGTTAAAGAAGTTCTTTTCTATTTTCCGTTTGCTAAGGGTTTGGTTATGTGGGGGTTTTTGTTTTCTAAAAATTGTGAGTATATGAGTTCATTTGTAACAGTTCTTTTTGTAGCTGATGATAATCCAATTTTTCCTTTAATTTGTAAATATGTTGAATTACATTGATTTTCTAATCTTCAATCAAATTTTTACTCCTGATATAAACCTAACTCGGTAAAGGTTCTATTTATAAGTTGTTGAAATTTAGAATTTTTACACTATATTCATGAATCATACTGGCTTATAATTTCCTTTCACATATTGAACTTGTCAGATTTTAGTATCAAATTTATTCTAATGTAATGGGGTGCAGTGTAGGAGTCCCCCAAAATAGCAGATTCCTGTTAAACTTGGATTAGGGGGAAGTGAACAAAAGGCAGTTAAGGTACTTTGCATAACAATGACAACTTAATAGTTGTGCTGCCGCCTAGGGCAAAAGGTATACATGACTTTAAGGTTTTATCCTGACTGGTGATATAGCCAGGGAAAATGGATGCCCACCCCTGATGCCCCTCTGTCACAGGGAACTCTTGCCCTGACTAAAAATAGTAGCTGAAAGAAGGTAAAAGAAAAAGGGGAACTGGCAAAAGTAGGGCATCATAGGAAAGGCTGGATATGAGGTCATATTGGAGCTCCAGGTCAAGCATTTAAATGAGGCCTGAAAGAGAGGAGGAAGAAGCTGTGTAGGAGGAAAGGGTGTAAAGAGAGCTGATGGAGCTATGTGAGGACCTCCCTAGCCAAGCACAGATTTGTGGGAGATGTTTGGAGCTGTGATCAGGAATGCTGAGCTGCACACTTCTGCTTCTCTGAAGGACATATGGAGAAGCCACTTTTTGGGGACATGTGCCTCTCTGGACTCCACCATGATCCATTGTAACATAGCACATATTTCCCTGAACCACTACATGGAGGCTGAGAACAACATACCCCAGATCCTGAAGGACAGAGAGCTTCAGCAAGAGGATAGCCACTCTGAAACCTGTAAGAGCACCTTCCAGAGGGAATGGAGACCTATTTGCACAGCTGGTTTAAGAACAGATAAGGAGGACTTCCGCCAAGATGGAGGCATAGGTGGATAAGCCGTGCCTTCTCACACAACCAAGTTTAGAGACAACTAAATATTAGCAACAGAAAACACAGCCAGGACACAGAAAATTGAACTTTTCGGAAGTCTGATAACAACAAATTCTTCAGCCTGACCAGTAAGGGGCAAAACCAGCAGCTGGTGGAGCGGGGTTGCACAGGAAAACTCGGTCAGACGGTCAGACGGACTCAGGCGTGCGGAATCCAGGCGCAGGGTTGGACCTAGTGAGCGACAGAGCAAGTGACCAAGCGAGCAACCGCGGGCAAACAGCGAGGGAGCAGGGCTGCAGGTTGACTGTGGTCGCGCATTGGTGCGCTGATAGACAAGCGAGGGAGTGGGCGATTGGACCGGGACCCAGCCAGTCCCCACAAGCGGCAGGGAGGGCACCGCCATTTCCCTGCTCTGACCCCACCTCCACATACAGCGTCATAACCCAGCGACTCTGAGTGGCCCAGCCCAGGTGAACCACCTAAGCCTCTGCTCCTCACCCAGCAGCAAGAAACAGCAGAGGGTGCCGCCATTTCCCCGCTCTGACCACGCCCCCACATACAGGGTCACAACCCAGCGACCTGGTAGTCCAAGGCTCTGCTCCTCACACTTAAAGGACGCGAACAGACCAAAAATGGCTCAAGAAGATCTCAAAGCCCCAGAGCCTATAAAACTAAGCAATGAAGAAATAGCAAAACTCTCAGACGCACGGTTTAAAACACTGGTGATCAGGATCCTCATAGAACTGGTTGATTATAGCCACAAATTAGACAAACACATGAAGGCGAAACTAACTGAAATGAATGGAATTGCACAGGAAACCAATAGCAATGAAAAGGAAACTGGGACTCAAATCAATGGAGTGGACCAGAAGAAAGCAAATAATGGCCAAACAGAAAAGAGTCAAGAAGCAAGAATGCAAAGAAATGAGGAGAGTCTTAGGAACCTCCAGGACATCTTTAAATGCTCCAACATCCGAATTATAGGGGTACCAGAAGGGGGAAAGGAACAGCCACCAGTGGAAAACTTATTTGAACAAATAATAAAGGAGAATTTCCCCAATCTGGCAAAGGAAATAGACTTCCAGGAAATCTAGGAAGCTCAGAGAGTCCCAAAGAAGTTGGACCCAAGAAGGAACACACCAAGGCACATCATAATTACATTAGCCAAAATTAAAATGAAGGAGAGAATCCTAGAAGCAGCAAGAGATAAGGGGACAGTCACCTACAAAGGAGTCCCCATCAGACTGTCAGCGGATTTCTCAAAAGAGACCTTACAGGCAAGAAGGGGCTGGAAAGAGGTATTCCAAGTCATGAAATCCAAAGACCTACAACCAAGATTGCTCTATCCAGCAAAGCTTTTATTTAGAATGGAAGGACAGATGAAGCGCTTCTCAGATAAGATCAAATTCAAGGAGTTCATCATCACCAAGCCCTTATTATATGAAATGTTAAAGGGACTTATCTAAGAAAAAGAAGTTAAAGAAACCTGAACAGTGAAAGGACAACAAACTCACAGTTATTAACAACCACACCTAAAAGAAAAGCAAACTAAAAGCACAGCTAGATCAGGAGTGGAAACATAGAAATGAAGATCTCAAGGAGGGTTAGCAACAGGGGAGTGGGAGGAGGAGAAGGGGGGAGAAGGTACAGAAAATAAGTAGCATAGACAGTAGATAGAAAATAGATGGGGGCAAGAATAGCATGGGAAATATAGAATCTAAGGAACTTGAGACACATGGACATAAACTAAAGGGGGGGTAATGGTGGGAACGGGGGGGTTAGGGTGGAGGGGAATGAAGGGGGGAATAGAACAACTGTAACAGCATAATCAATAAAAAATTTAAAAAAAAGACTTTTACATAAAAAAAGAACAGATAAGGATGTGGGGAGTCCTGGCATGATTTTGGCTTATAGCCTGGTGGGGAGCGAGGGAAGTTCTGGGTCTTGTGGGAAAACAAGGAGTGCTCTCAGCCCCCCAGGTTGGAATCCTGTAAATAAAAACCTGCTTCCTTCAACACTAATTGTTGAGTCATGCATCAAGGTACCATATGGTACCCAGTTTGCTTGGTTACACTAACTCATGAAAGGAGTTTGGAGTATATTTCCTCTTTTTCTTTCCCCTGGGAGCATTTTGTCACATTCTTTGTATATTTGATAGAATTCACTGCTGCAACCATCTGAGTCTAGAATTTTCTATGGTATTTCACCACTGATTCATTTATCTAACAGTCAAAGGACATTGAAGGCTTTCTATTTTTTTCTTAAGTCCTTTTAGATTAATATATTTTTCTAGGAATTAGTCCATTTCATCTAAGTTACCAAATATATTGGTATAAAGTTGTTCACAATATCTAAATTAGTAAATTATTTAATTTTGTAATGAGATATAATTTATATGTAGTGAAGTGCACAGGTCTTAGATGTATAGTTCAGTCAGTTTGACAAATGCAATGTTCCTGTAATCCACATTGCTTTGAAGGTAACAAAACACATCTGTGATTTTTAGTAAGCTCTTGTGTATTTTCTCACTTCCTGACCCCAAGCAACCTTATTCTGATTTTGTCACCATAAACTAGTTTTGCCTATTTAAGCATCACAGAAATGGAACCATATAGTAGGTACTCTTTGATATCTGGCTTCTTTAATTCAGAATAATGTTTTTAGGATTCATCTATGTTGTCGTATCAGTAGTTTTTATTGTATAAATGGTATGACTATACAGTTGTATGTATACCATAATTTATTCATTTTCCTGTGGGTGGACACTTACGCTGTTACTAGCATGGGCTAATTGTGACTTAAACTCCTATGAAAATTTCAGGTATAAGGCCTTTTGTGGACATATATTTTCATTTCTCATGGACAAATAAATACCTAAGGTTAAAACTACTTGGTCCTAGGATAGTTTCTATGTTTAATTTTTTGAGAAAATGCCAAATACCTTCTAAATGATTATATTATTTTATATTTCCACCAGCCATACATGAGAGTTTTGGCTGTTCCTTGTCCTCACCAATATTTGGGGTTCGTTGGCTTTTCATTTTAGCCATTCTAATACATGTAATGCACAGGTGTCAAACCCAAGGCCAGTAGGCAAGTCTGGCCCTCAACCTTGTTTTATCTGGCCAGGCACTTTGTTTCTACCCAGTGGCAGTGCTGAGCTCCTTGCCCGTACTTAAGGAGTAGTTACATTTATACAGTCCTAAAATTACATTCGGCCCTTTGAAGGCAACTGTGAGGCTGATGTGGCCCCTGGTGAAAATGAATTTGACATCCCTGATGTAGTGGTATTTTACTATGGTTTTAAGTTGCATCTTCTTGATGACTAACAACATGGAACATATTTTTTCATTTTAATGGTCATTTATATATTTTTCCTTAAGTGTCTGTTTGAGTCTTTGGCTTATTGCCTGTTGCATTATTTGAAGTTTTATTCTTGAATTTCAGAAGTTCAGTATATATTTGGATATATTCCTTTCTTCAGATTTATGTAGTATGAATATTTTCTTCCCATCTGTGACTTGCCTATCTATTTATTTATTTATCTGTTAAAGTATATTTTATTGATTATGCTGGTACAATTGTCCCATTTTCCCTTCTTCATTCCCCTCCACCCTGCACACCCCCTCCCACCCACATTTCCCCCCCTTTAGTTCATATCCATGTGTCATAAGACCTTTAGCTTCTACATTGCCCATACTGTTCTTGCCCTCCCCCTGTCTATTTTCTACCTACCATCTATGCTACTTTTTCTCTGTACCTTCTCCCCCCTTCTCCTCCTCCCACTCCCCTGTTGCTAACCCTCCATGTGATCTCCATTTGTATGTTTCCACTCTCGATCTAGCTGTCCTCTTAGTTTGCTTTTATTTTAGGTGTGGTTGTTAATAACTGTGAGTTTGCTGTCCTTTCACTGTTCATCTTTTTTATCTTCTTTTCCTTAGATAAGTCCCTTTAACATTTCATATAATAAGGGCTTGGTGATGATGAACTCCTTGAACTTGACCTTATCTGAGAAGAACTTTATCTGCCCTTCCATTCTAAATGAAAGCTTTGCTGGATATCACAATCTTGGATGTAGGTCCTTGCCTTTCATAACTTGGAATACTTCTTTCCAGCCCCTTCTTGCCTGTAATGTCTCTTTTGAGAAATCCGCTGACAGTCTGATGGGAACTCCTTTGTAGCTGACTGTCTCCTTATCGCTTGCTGCTCCTAGAATTCTCTCCTTCATTTTAATCTTGGCTAATATAATTATGATATGCCTTGGTGTGTTCCTCCTTGGGTCCACCTTCTTTGGAATTCTCTGAGCTTCCTGGACTTCCTGGAAATCGATTTCCTTTGCAAGATTAGGGAAGTTCTCCTTTATTATTTGGTCCAATAAGTTTTCCACTTGTTGCTCTTCCTCTTCCCCTTCTGGTACCCCTATAATTCGGATGTTGGAATGTTTAAAGATGTCCTGGGGGTTCTTAAGCCTCTCCTCATTTTTTTGAATTTTTATTTCTTCATTCTTTTCTGATTGGTTGTTTCTTTCTTCCTGCTGGCCCACTCCATTGACTTGAGTTCGTTTTCTACCCATCACTATTGGTTTCCTGTGCATTTTCCTTTATTTCACAGGAATAGACTTCATATGTTCCTCTAATTTGTAACTAAAATCAACCAGTTCTTTGAGCATACTGATCACCAGAGTTTTGAACTGTGCATCTGATAGGTTGGCTATCTCTTGGTCACTTAAAATTATTGTCTCTGGGGCTTTGAGCTCTTTTTCTGCTTGAGCCATAATGTTTTGGTGTGTTTGTGCCTGTTATGTGGTGAGGGGCAGAACCTTAGGTGCTCACCAGGGCAGGGCAACTCAGTTGCTGGATTGTGATGCTGTATGTGGGGGTGAGATCAGAGAGGGAACAATGGCACTTGTTGTGCTCTCTGCCAGATTTCAGTCCCTTCTGCTGCTTCCCACAAGCAAATCAGGGCCAACTGATGCTGGTTCCCATGTGGGTGGGGCTTGTGTACATTATAGGACCCTGCAGGTCTCTCCAACGAACTCTCCTGTGAGACTGGGAGTTTCTCCCAGCACTTCAGCCCCCACAAATATTTTTAACCAGTGCTTTTAGGCTTTTTTTCCCAGTGCTGGGGCCCTGGGTTGTGTGGTCTGTCTCACTCCCTGTTTTCACCTGTTTTATCTTTGCACAAATGTGTGACAGTGGTCAGCCAGCCTCCTTGCATCCCTCACTGAGTCTGCTCATTGCCTCCCCTTCCCTTGCCCAGGGTCTATCAGCCACCACTTTTTCATGCTGCAACCCCTCTGTGCCAACTGCAGACTCTGCTCCTCTTACCCATCTGGATGAATAGTTGTAGGACGTCTGTACAGTTTATTTTTCTGTCAGTTCTGGTTGTTTTTTTGTTTCTAAATTTTTGTTGTTCTTAATTTTGGTTGTGCGAGGAGGCACAAGTGTGTCTACCTATGCCTCCATTTTGGCCAGAAGTCTCCTCATTTTACCTTATCTCTTTAAAGGCCCTGTCTCCTAATACTCTCTGAGGTATTGACAGTTAGGACTTCAACATATGAATTTGGCAGGGGGGTACATAATTTCAGCACATAACATAGGATTATTCAGATTTATATATAAGTTTGGTAAATTGTGTCTTTCAAGGAGTCTAGTTCAGGGATGTAATGTATAGCATGGTGACTAGAGTTAATAATACTGTATTGTGTGTTTGAAATTTGCTAAGAGAGTACATCTTAAAAGTTCTCATCAAAAGAAAAAAATTTGTAACTGTGTGGTGATAGATGCTAACTAGACTTGTGATCATTTTCAATATATACAAATAATGAATCATGTTGTATACCTGAAACTAATATGTTGTGTGTCAATTATGCCTCAATTAAAATGCATTTTGACCAAAAGAAATAAGGAATCTATTTCATCTAAGCTGTCAAATTCATTGGCATGGGACATTTATAATAGTTATTAGTTTTTTATTATCTGAAGGATCTATAGTGATGTTCCTGCTTTCATTCCTAATATTGATAAATTTGTGTTTTTCATCTCCCTCTATAGGTTTTGTTAGCAATTGGTCGTGACTCCTCTACAAGGAAAATAGGCTTGGAGACGATTGGTGTCAAAATCAATGAGAAGTATGTACATGTGGGATCATGTTGATGCACAAAGCACAATGTTTCTACAGATCACCTCTTAAAATTCTCATTTAATTACTAAGATACAAAATTTTATTGCTTTGAATTTATTTTATAGTAAGTACAGTCCCAGCTCTGTGTTATCAATTTTTTCATTAACAAGTAACTCTTTATTGTGTGCCTGAAAAAGCTCACATGCATTTTTTTAAATGCATGATTTAAAAAAAAATAATTGAGGAAATGTATTCACCTACATCTGACTTACAGTGAATTTTATGGCTTTGGTCAAGCAAGGAGAAAGATTTCAAAGCTCTTAAGTGCAGCTGTGGGGGAAACCTGGGAATATCCTCAACATCCAAAAAATGAGCCTTGTTTTATCAACCATCAAGGTGTTTTTTTCTGCAGCTGCAGAAACTTTTGCTATTGTAAGCCATTGGTCTTATAGACAGGTAATGTCCTGAGGTGTATGAATTCGTAGAGCAAGGTCATATCTCTTTGTATTTAGTTCTGTTGGAAGAGTATTAGTCATCGGCAGTATAAAGTTAATCATAATATATTTTTCCCCATTCAAAATCTAATAGGAGTGGCAAGATTCCAGTCAATGATGTGGAACAGACCAATGTGCCATATGTTTATGCTATTGGAGATATTCTGGAAGGTAAACTTGAGCTCACTCCTGTTGCCATACAGGCAGGCAAGCTGTTGGCTCGAAGACTTTTTGGGGGTCATGTAGAAAAGGTAAGTTTCTTACTGTTGTTTTTGAGATAATATCTAAATAAAATTATGACTTTAAAAAAACAGTTCAAATAAAGCTTGTGTGTTTGTTTTCCAAGTAAAGGGTTTTTCACAAATAAGTCATTTGCAGGTGACTTATTTACTACTGGTTTTCAAAAATATTTTTTAATATATGCCATGTACAAGATGTTTTGCTGGATAATATACAAAGTACTGACATGGTTCCAGCACCAAGGGGCTTGCTAGGTAGGTGGGGGTCATGAGTAAGAAGAAGGGTAGTTAATTCTGATTGAAGGGATAAGAAGAGGCCTTCCAGGTTATCGGTTTCACTATCACAGACTAGGAGGGGATTAGGATGCTGGCCCTGGCTTAAATGCCTGTTAGTGTGTGAAGTTGGTCATGTCATTTCACTTCACTTCAATTTCGCCATCTGCAAAGCTGATGGTGTGAATCAGGTGAGTTCTGCAGTCTCCTTCATCTTTCATAGACTTTGATCAAAGATTTGGGATGGGCTTTGTAGGATGAGTAATTTAAAACTGAGGGAGCAAAGGACTCTTTTGATAAGTAGATCATTCAAAAGCCCAGCTCTGGGGGAGTTCATGCTCTATTCCAGCAGGAGCACAGTGAACGTGTGGAGGTGTTAGCAGATGAAAGATTGACTGGTTAAGTCCATCTTTACTGGGTGGGTGTAAGGAATGCTAACTGTTCTGTTACACACAGAGGAAGAATCGTCTCATGCACAATACTTAACAAATTTTGAGAAGTATGCAGGCAGAGCAATTGGTGATAGAAGAGTACAATAGGAAATGAGGCTGGAAAATTGATTTGGCACCAGATCATCAGAAATCTATGATGCCACAGTAAAGAATCAGTTAGGGCCCGATCTAGGCATTGGGAGCTATTGAAGATCTTTTTTAACTTTTCATTTAGAAAGATGGCAAACCTCAGAAGGAATAGTAACAATCACCCATATTACTCTTTTTACTCATATTTCCCCATTGTTAACATTTTGCCATTTTTGCTCTCTCTCTGCATGTACATTTTTTCCTGCTATTTGAAATAAGTGGCAGACATTAATGATGTTTTGCTCCTAAATCCTTTAGCATGTGTCTCCTAAGAATAAGGATATTGAACTATATAACCACAGTTCCATTACTGTAGTTGACAATTCAACAAATATGCAGTAATATTACATTTATTCAGTTCATTAGTGTGTATGCACATGTTTTGATTCACACAGTACCTGGCTCTTTTAACTCCTAAGTCTCTTGTAATCTCCCAGCCCTCTGCCTTGATTTACCTATTTGCTTGCTTGTTTTACTTTTTATGACTTTAATTTGTAATGAATCCAGTCTACTTTTTTTGTAGAATATCTCACATTCTGAATTTCTCTGATTGTTTTTGTGTGATTATGTTCAGGTGAAAAGTTTGGGGTACATATTCTTTACAAGGGATGCTGTATGCTGTTTATTTTATCAGTCCAGTTACCTAGTAAAGTTGTGCACAAAGACCTAGTATACATGTGGAGGTGTTGGTGGATGAGGGGTAGCTGGGGATGTGGTACTGCTTGCATGAATGGGTGGGGCCAGGAATGATAAATGTACAAAGAAGAATTATCCTTTCCCAAATGCAATAGCATTTTTAGGTGTATGGGAGCAGAGTAGTTCCTAATGCTTTCAAGAAATTAGTCATGGTGGCCATGGGGTAAAGAAATTAGAAGTGGACCAGTGTGTGTGTAAAAAGGGAGTGATTAAAAGTCTAGGACTGAAAGGAAGGCTACAAGTAGAACAAGATGAAGTCCAGTTCAAGTGGAAGAAATAGTGTAAGATGTGGAGAGAGTATTTTAGATGAAAGGGAGAAAGTTGAGGAATTGCCTGTTGATTTCTCTGTTGATACGAGACAGGAGATAGAGGCCTCTATTGAGCCATGGGATATGGGATCAGCTGCTGGTCACTAAATGGAGTGATAAGCATTCGATGGCTTAAGAGAAGTCAGAAAACTAGGCACCTGGTTATGTGATTTTTCTCTGGCCACATTGGAATAAGCACAAATGTTTCATGATTAGCAGTTAGCAAATGTGAAATGTGATTGAGCATATTTTAGTTGAAGGCTCTTGGCTGATGCATATTGTACACAAATCACCTCTTTAGTGCAGTATACCTGGTGTTTTCAAGTGTTTCGCTTTTGTGTAAAATAGAAAATCACTCAAAGTAGGCAAATTGGGGAAGTTTCTTATAAGGACCACATGGATGAGTAGTCAAGCTGCACTATAGTGACTTAGAACAAGGACTGTGCTAGCACGGGGTCTCACTGCAGTTAAAGCAGGGCTGGGTCTGGGTGTCACAGCTGCTCTGGGGCCCTAGCACAGAGAAGTGGGCTTCACAGGGTGCCCTTCCATTAGCCTAACTTGGCCACAACTCTGTTTTTTCTTAACACACTACTACACATAAGGGATCATTCCTTTTATTTTTTATTTTTATTTTTTTCAATATTATATATATTTATTAATCGGTAGTAATATATTGTAATGAATTAACACAGATTATAGAACCAGGTGCACAGATATAGAATCAGATGGACCTGGATTCAAATCCATTTACCAGCCATGTGACCTTCTGCAAGTTTCTTTTTTTTTTTCAAGTATAGTTTTCTGTTTATTTCTCCCATCCCAGCCCACCCCTCTCCATGCACCCCACCTCCCTCCCATTTCCACCCCCCTTAGTTATTGTCCCTGTGTCCTTTATACTTGTTCCTCTAAATCCCTCTCATTTTTTCCCCTTAAATTTCCTCCCCTCTCCCCTCTGGTCGCTGTCCCCTTGTTCTCTATTTCAGTGTCTTTGTTTTTATTTTGCTTGCTTGTCTGTTTTGTTGTTTAGCTTCCTGTTAAAGGTGAGGGATCGTTCCTTTGTTCCTAGTTTATTTTCCTGCAAAAGAAACAGTTTGGTGCAGCTCACCTTTCTCTGCATAGGTTTCTGGTCAGCTTATGGATTACCTATCTTTGGGGATGTCATCCCTGACCTAATAACCTATAACTTATTGGCAGGGATTTGGGTGACATGCAGTGCTCTAGGCATTGTAAGCCCTCGAGGGGCTGTGGATACACAGGCACAGCAACCTTTATCCCTGGTTATACCCTCCATTCTTTCTCTCCCTGCATACCACTCTCTATCCACACACACAGTTTTAATGACACCTCCTCCAACATGTTCTAACTCTGCTTCACACAGTCACAAACACTTTCTCCTCTAGGCAGGGATGCCACTTGAACTTGGCAAGGCAAGCGGAGCTGCTGGAAGATCATGTGTAGGGTTCAGAGTCTGCAGTCTGGTTGTGCTGTGTACTTACGCTGTGTCTCAGTCAGATCAAGGCTCTGAAGGAGTTCCGTCATAACCATGGGATTCATGCAATCCCAGCTTCCAAGTACACATGTATATGCCATCTTCCCCTGGTGGTCCAGGGAAGTCACTCAGACCTGCACTATTAATCTGTTTCTTTGCTTATCATCTCAGTGACATTGTTAAATAAAATGGCCGAGAGTGGTCTAGGCTTCAAGTGAAATAGTATAATTCTCCATCACCTAGTGGAGGTGCTCTAGGAAAGCAGGGCCCAGAAATTGTGGGAATGGAAAAAATTTTTTAGAAACTATCTTAAGGGCAACAGAGTTGCCCTTAAGGGTGGGTGATTACACCCACCTTCTCCTTTACTGAGTGGTTTTCAGATCAGAAATCTGAGGTTGGGGCTGTGGGAGAGCTAGTCCTGTTCATTCATCACTGGTCAGTGCATGGTCTCTGCCCTGGAGTTGAGCTCATCCCATCTCCTTCAGTGTAATTTACAATCCCTGAAGTGGTGATATGTCAGAATCATTTACATTGAACTAGACTTACTTATTTTCCTTTTGTAAATGTATGTGATAGAAGTTTTTGTTGTAAAAAAAAAGTGTCACAAAATAAAAGCATGTAATTTCTTTATCTTTCAGTGTGATTATATAAATGTTCCCACTACAGTGTTTACTCCTCTGGAATATGGCTGCTGTGGATTATCTGAAGAGAAAGCTATTGAAGTATATAAAAAAGAGAATCTAGAAGTAAGACTGTATTTGGTTTATTTTACTGTTTTAATCAACTGTCTTCGGAAATCATCCTATTTTAGGAAAATTAGAAATTAAATACAGTGGTACCTTGGCGCTCGTCGTTAATTCATTCCAGAACTCATGACAAATGCCAAAATCAACCAGATGATGAAGCATTTTCTCTTGTGGAGCAATGTTGTGACTCATACAAGTTCTAGCAAGCACAATGACTCCTGAGCAAGCACTGAGTGCTGAGACATTGTCAAAATGCAGTGAGTACAGAGTTTGACAAGTTCTGAAGCCAATAAGTACTGAGGTATGAATGTAATTTTAAACCCCATCTCTCTTGTAAACTAATAATAACACACATGGGGAAAGAGAGTTGTATAATGTATGCATTAGGACTTTTGAATTACAAATAGCAAATACCTACTTGAGTAAGCTAACACAAGGAAGCACATGTTATAAGTTCTTTTAGGAGTACAGGAATGTATCAGGGCCTTAGGAAGTGATAAGAACTAGGAATTGAAAGATCTAACCTCTTCCTTTTACTTGTGTGGGGCTTATGTATTTGTTTGTGTGTGTGCATGCAATTCATTCTTATGTTCCTACAGATAGACTTTTTTGTCCCTGGAATGCACATAGCAGCCAAAATATGGGCTTGGTTTTACTCCCAAGTTTACTGTTTATTCTGGTCTTAAGAGAAATTGATTGACTTACCATTTCTTAGTCTCAATTTTAAATTATGGGAGAGGACCTTTGACTGGTCTGTTGGGTCTGCCATCCAGCCACTTCCATTTGGAATGACGGTAGCCAGACTCATGGAGTGTCAACATGGCTCTGGGAACCTACACTATCATTGAACTTTAGGTGGGGAAGATGAGCATTTCCTAGAGTTGTCATGGGCTGTGGGCCATTCAGACTCTGACAAAGATGTCCTTCACATATTTATTTCAGCTTCCCTTTCACCACTGCTATGTTTAGTCACAACAACCTTATAAATATTTTCTTACATTTTAGTGGGTGGTCTGAGTATTATTTTTTCTGCACAGCCTCCCAACATAGGAGGGATAGGGAGAAATGAAAAGAGCCAGAGGATTATTTCTACTTGAGGTTTTAGGCAAAAGATAATTGAAATTTCAGTTCTTTCCCTTCAATGACATTTTAATTTATTACTGGAAATTTCTTCAAACCATAGCACTGATATTCCCTAAGTAAATAGTCTAATGAGTTACTGAAACTCTTACTTATATTTCTGGTATTGGGAAAATGTATGATTAAAACTTTATAATGTTATTTTAGCTGGTAGCTTTCAATGACACATTTACATTTTATTTATTTATTTAATAATATATTTTTTAAAGATTTTATTTATTTGTATTTAGAGGGGAAGGGAAGGAGAGAGGGAGAGAAACATCAATGTATGGTTGCCTTTTGTGCCTCCCCTGCTGGGAACTGACCTGCAGGGAACTGGCCTGCAACCCAGGCACGTGCCCTGACTGGGAATCGAACCGCGTTTGTCTGGTTCGCAAGCCCGCACTCAATCCACTGAGCTACACCAGCCAGGAGATATTTACATTTTAGAGGACATTGTTTGATCAGTGTTTATAATTAACTCCTTGAGTGCTGGAAAGTTGATGGTAATGATTACAGATTTAACACTTAGTTGTACAACTTTTTAAAATTAATTAGAATTAAAATACAGAGGCAAGAAGGCTGTAGAAGGCCAGGTCCTAATTAAAGGAATATTTTTATAGGAAAATAGTTTCCCAAGTTTGTGGGATTTCTTTAAGGTATTCATTCTAAGGTTCACTGAACATCAACTCACCTACTTATTTTCTTTATTTCTTTCTTTACAAGACTGAAAATTTAATGTAATGGTATTTTTTAAATTCCTATTATAAAAAAATTGGAGGAAGACTCAAAAATACCTATATAATATTTTTAAAGATTTTATTTATTTATTTTTAGAAGGGGGAAGGGAAGAAGAAAGAGAGGGAGAGAAACATCAGTGTGTGGTTGCCTCTCATGTGCCCCCCTCTGGGGATTTGGCCTGCAACCCAGGCATGTGCCCCAACTGGGAATCAAATTGGTGGTGACCCTTTGGTTCTCAGCCCACACTCAATCCACTGAGCTACACAAGCCAGGGCTATATAATATTTTTTAAGTAAAGTAATCAAGGTAAAAAGAGAATGAGGGTAGAAAAAAAATAAGATAGTTAGAGGAAAGGTTAATTTGTTGGTTCACAAAATTAGTGCTATAAAGTCTATAAGACTTCAGGCTTAAGCTGAAAAATGAATTTAACTCTAAGCTCCCTACTTCATGACTAGAAGAAGGAGAATTAGGAGGTATTTCTTCACATTCTTATAAAAGGGGCATTTAGATATGAATGATATGCTTAATATATCTCATTAGTAAATACAATAATGGATTTACAGAAGTGTTTCTTATTAGATTCAAAACTGCAGTCTCACGGCATAATGCCAAAGTGCAGAATATTGAAAAATTAATTTTTATTGATAGACATTGGTTTAAAAAATCATAAAAGGGCATCAACAAGAGGGGAAAAAAGTAATTCCTAAAGGGGAAAAAATAGGGCTATACTCTCTGGTGGCCTGACCCAAAACAAAATTTTACAGTGCAGGTACACCTCACAGATGCTGAAAGTTTTTTTCCAGACCATCCCAATAAAGAGAGTATCGCAGCAAAGTGAGTCACACAAATGATCTGGCTTCCCACTGCATATAAAAGTTATTGTTACACTGTACTATAGTCTATTGAATCTTCGATAGCATTTGTATCTTAGGGAATAGGGAGGCTTAAGAAGAGGGAGAGAATGGGGGAACACATGCTTAGTGGAGAATTGAAAACACACACATTTATCAATTATATTTGCCATCTTATATGGGTGTGATTTATGGTGCTCCAAAATAATAAGAGTAACACAAAATCACTGTTTAGGACTTTGGTCAAGATACAAGCATAGGTAAACACAACTCACCTCCTTGCACAACCACAGCAAAAATTACAATTAAACTACAAAACAGCTATTACTCAGAACTGCCAGAAAATCGAGCTGAATGCAAGTCCAGCAACAGAGGAATTAAAGAAGTCACATTCATTCAAATGGGTAGGAAGGACAGAGATGCAAAATACTGTAGTCTCACACCCATGTGTGGTGGATAAAAATTGGGAGGTGTATCTTGGGAGCAAGCCATCTCAATCCACACTAGACCACCCAGCCAGGGTTCTAGTTCCAGGAATATAAGTCTCCATAACTCCTGGCTGTAAAAGCCAGTGGGGATTGGGCAGTGGAAGAAATTTCAGGAGTCTCAGGCATCTCCTGTTAAAGAGCCCACAACAGACTTAAGACTTAGACTCACTCCCTCTGGGCTCTGGCACCAGAGCAGCAGTATGAAGAGCACCAGTGGCATACTGGGAGGAACTGAAGTGTCTGGCATCAGGGCAAGTGCCAGGGGATAGCTTCTTCCCAGACAGACACTAGAGGCCAGGCAGTGGCCACTATCCCTTTTCTGAGCCCTCCCTCACATGGCCACAGAGTAGCAACATGATATCTGAGACTCAGTCAACCTAGTTCACACAAGATGCTCTGCCCTGGGGATTACCTAAGGCACAGGTGGCAAACACAATGCCCATCAGCCAAATCTGGCCCTCAACCTTGTTTTATCTGGCCAGGCACCTTGTTCCTACCCAGCGGCAGCAATGAGCTCCTTGCCCCTAGTTAAGGAGTAGTTACATTTATACAGTCCTAAAATTACATTTGGCCCATTGAAGACAACAGTGAGGCTGATGTGGCCCCTGGTAAAAATGAGTTTGACACCCCTGACCTAAGGCTCTGCCCCATCCAACTTACAGGTGCTCTTTTGTACATTAGGCCACACTACTAAGATGAAGTCAAAGCAGCTCTCTCTAATAATAGAAACAAACACAGGGAGGCTGCCAAAATGAGGAGACAAAGAAATGTGACCCAAATAAGAGAACAGAACAAAACTCCAGAAAAAAACTAAACAAAATAGAGATAAGCAATCTCTCTGATGCAGAGTTCAAAACACTGATTATTAGGATACTCAAGGAACTCATTGGGTACTTCAACAGCATAAAAATAATCCAATCAGAAAAGATGGTTACACTAAGTGAAATAAAAATTAATGGGGAATCAACAGTCGAGTGGATGAAGCAGAGAATCGGAACAATGATTTGGAACATAAGGAAGAAAAAAACCAGAACAACAAGACAAAAAATATATAAAAAATGAGGATAGGGTAAGGAGCGTCTGGGACATCTTCAGATGTACCAACATTTGAACCATAGGGGTGCCAGAAGTAGAAGACAAAGAACAAGATAATTTTGTTTTTAGGAAATTAGGAAAAATTTCCTAATTTGGTGAAGGAGATAGGCATACAAATCCAGGAAGCACAGAGAGTTCCAAATAAGTTCAACCAAAAGAGGACTACACCAAGACTTACCATAATTAAAATGCCAAAGGTTAGTGCTAGCTGGTGTGGCTCAGTGGATTGAGTGCCAGCCTGCAAACCAGAGGGTTGCCAGTTTGATTCCCAGTCAGGACATATGCCTGGGTTATCAGCCAGTTCCCCAGTTGCAGGCTCATGAAAGGCAACCATACATTGATGTTTCTCTCCCTCTTTTTCTTCCTCCTTTCCCCTCTCTAAACATAAATTTAAAAAAATTTTTTTGAATGCCAAGGTTCAAAGTAAAGAGAGTATCTTAAAAGCAGCAAGAGAAAAGCAGTTACCTACAAAGGAATTCTCCTAAGACCGTCAGCTGATTTCTCAAAAGAAACTTTGCAGACTAGAAGGGACTGGCAAGAAGTATTCAAAGTAATGAAAAGCAAGTACCTACAACCTGGATTACTCTATCCAACAAAGCCATCATTTATAATCAGACAAGATTGGGTGCATTCAGGTAGTATAGCTGTAGATTACCATAATTTATAATCGAAGAACAGATAAAGTGCTTCCCAGACAAGGTAAAGC